AAATAATAATGATTAATTAATATAATAATAATGTGTACAAAACTACGTTCTTAGATCATTGTATTTTTGTGTTTCTAATTCCGTACTTTACATAAACATGTCATTATTATCTGGATCACGAAGATGCCTTGGGTGGTCAATGTCTGGCGGGCCCAATGGATCGAATCTTGCAGAAGGTGGAATCGCTCCCCTATAATAAAGCATTAACATCAATAACAACTTGAATATGAAGTGGTGTAACATATCGCAATCATTTTATTAACTCACGGTGGTAATATTCCACCTGGAACTAAACCTCTTCTTGGATTTACCGGATGGCGTAACGGATCAAATGGATCGAAAATCATACCACCACCGGGACTGAACGGATCCAAATCTGCCCGTCCTACGCCGACACTGCCCCTTTGAAATTTCAAAAATACATAATAGTTTGTTATGTTAATTCTTATCCTTCTATCTTCTTTACAGATCTCATTAGATATTTATACTAATACTGACTTCTTTTAGTGAAACTTTTGGTACAAAATTACATGTATTTTTTCAATGAATATATATAAACTTTACCGTGCAGGTGGCCTGTGTCTTCTCTGACCCCATAATAATGAATCAACTGATGATGTTGAATCACTTGTATCTCTACTAAAATGTCCTGTTGTTTGAGTAGATTGTTCTGTGGTACCTGTGGCATTATCAGGGAGATGTGGATTAATAAGATCTTTTTGAATTGTCTGTATAATATTTTGGTATGAAGGTATTAAAGATTCTAATGGTGCATGAAGAGAAGTTACAGTTTGATTAATTGGAACTTGTATACTGGATGTCTGTTGGTTCTTCTGCAAAATAAAATATATGTAGTAATTATTTGTATTCTGTAGTTATTATTGTATACATATATTCCAGAATAATTTACAATATCTAAGGTATCATACCCATAAATTTATAAGTAAATCTTCATCATCATTAGTTCTCAAACCTAAAAGTATATATAAGTCCTTGTCCTTTATGTAACGCAGTTCATATATTTGTTTTGCACTCCATCCTTCTGGAAGTAACTGTGATCCTTTTTCTGATGGTTCAAATTCTTCCTGAAACAAAAAGAAAATATTTTTGGGAATTAGTGTGTTCCTACATATGTATTTTATACATATTTTGTACTATGTTTAAAAAATTATGCCATGACAACACATATTTTGCCTTACAATTTTATTATTAAATAACTGACATTTCCAATAACTGACCTTCAAAAATTGGAAAACAAATCTTAAAGGTTATGTATTATGAAATTTGAATAACAACCTCTTTGTATTTATTATTTAATTATATAAATAAATCATACAAAAATATTACTGTGTAAAATGTTGATATTGCGTAATATTATGGAAAAATATTGCTTTTTAATAACTTACGAATCTGCCGATTCCGAGACATCTGAATCCAAGTTTTGTAAAATACCAGTGAACAAACAAAATTAAAACGTCCTCCTTTTTTACAATTTGATTCTTGTGTAACTCTTGCAAAAGTGCAAAACCAAAGTCGCTATTTTCGTCACCCATTTTGCGGCAGAATGACAACTGAGTTTCAATACTGTTACGTTCATGCCATTGGTGTTTATATGTGTTGTGACAATTCAGTTTCCGGATGCAATGCTTTTATAATTAAATGTCATAA